GACTGTGACGGTGACTGTGAGTGATGGTGACAGTGAGTGGCGGTGACGGTGACTGTGACAGTGAGTGACAGTGACAGTGACTGAGTGACGGTGACTGTGACTGAGTGACGGTGACTGTGACAGTGACTGTGAGTGAAGGTGACAGTGACTGTGAGTGACAGTGACAGTGACAGTGACTGTGACAGTGACAGTGACAGTGACTGAGTGGCCGTGCACTTCCCTCTGGCTTCCTCGTTCAGTCAGGCCTGTCCCTCCGGCCCAGCCTTGCTGTGGAGGAGCAGTGGGATCCAGTGGACTCTTAGGCAGCCATGCCGGCACACCCCACCCTCGTGCCCACATCCCCACAAGTGCTGGATGGCGTCATAGGGTGGGTCACGCCACAGGTCCTGCCTTCTGCTCACCCGGGGCCAAGGGTGAGCCAGCTGGTTCATAGCAGTTCCGGGTGTTGCTGTGAGGACACGGACCTTCCCCATGGGTTGGCGCGTCAGAGAGCCGTATCTTCAGTGGCCCGTGTGAGGGAAGAGAGCTGCCGTGTGGCCTCCGTGGGGTCTGGAGCATCGGTGAAGGCGAAGTCTGGAAGAGGAGACACTGACAGGTGCAGCGAGGCCGAGCCGGCCCTTCCGCGAGCCTCGGCTCAGAAGCCTCCACAGGTGTGCCGAGCTCCCGGCGGAGCAGGGGCCTCAGCCCGCGTGAGTGCCGGGCCAGGGGCCTGCTCAGTGAGCTGCCTCTGCTGGCCAGAGACACCTCATTAGGAGCTAGAAATTTAAGTCCCGTGGGATGAACAAAATTTGACCAAGTCACTACGAGGGCAGGGAGAGGAGCCTGAGGTTGAGCTGTGGCAAAGCTGGCGCCCAGACATGGCTGAGGAGAAGCTGGCGGCATTCAGGTATGAAAGGGGTCACCTTCACCACAGCAGAGGGCAGGGGACTGCGGGAAGGTCAAGGAGACCTGTTGGCCGAGGACGCACTCCGTACAGTCACGTGGTAGTTTCCGAAGGCGAGGACTCGCCAGGGCTGGTGAGCAGAGCTGTCCTCACCGTGCAGGCGGGAGCTCAGGTCCTCAGGCCCGTGGAGAGGGGAAAAGAGAGCACGGCAGAGTTGTCCTCCACCCTGCACACACGTGGACACGTGCCAGAACACACCTCACGTCTACACGTGTAATGGCAATTTTTAAACACCATGAAAGGGTGGCTTCTGAGGAGAGACTGTTGCTGTGAGCTTTGCAGTATTTTACAGATTCTCTGTACTTCTTTAATCCGTGGAGAAGTGGTTAGGGCCTTGTTAAGGACACTGGCTGCCTGGGGGTTCAGTAGTGCACACACAGGACGGTTCGTGGAAAGCGGCTGCTGAGAGCAGCCAGGCCACTCTGAGAGCTTAGGACAAAGGAACAAGCCAGGTGACGGGTTACCGTGTGTGACTTAGGAGTGACAGCTCTGGGGTGTAGGGGCGCCGGCTTCTGCCAGAGACGATGTTCATGACTGACCTCGGTTTAGGAGCCAGAAGCAGTAAGGTGGTGAGTTTGGGGCTAGCCTGGGCTATACACATTTCATTTCCTTAACGGGATCATTTATATAAATGTGACACATCAACACAGAGGCTGTTGTATAGCTGAAAATATTCTTAGTTACAGAGTGGTTTAGAAGATAATTCGTATACCAAAACCTACACGCATTTAACATATATAATCAGCTTGAGTCACCTGTGAATACATCCAAAACTCCCTTAGAGAGTCCCTTAGAGAGGGGTGTGTGTGTGTGTGTGTGTGTGTGTGTGTGTGTGTGTGTGTGTGGTGTGCTGGAGATGGGGTTGGCCTGGTACATTGGTAGGTAAGTCCTCTTGTCAGTGAGCTGTGACCTCAACCTACTTGTGCTTTAGTCTTTCACGCTGAGGACGCGTCACAGCCGTCCTGCCCTCTCACCTGGAGAACACGGCATCACGTGGACTCTAGGCCGGTTCTCCATTACCTGTGAGAGCCGAGAGAAATGCCACGGGCAGGGCAAGACTCGCGTGTCTGCTGTGGCTTTTTATTGTCTGATTTCACAGCCAGTGTTCTGGCCTGGGATTTTTTCAGCCATGAACTGAACCAAAAATATTTGAGAAAATAATTGCCTCTAAGTTAAAATGTGTAAACTTATTTCTAATCAGTATTTCACACACGTGATGGCTGACCTTGATTGCCAGCTTGATTAGATTGAGAGTCGCTCCAGAAATGAGTGAAGCCTGGCCACCAAGGGGAAAGCCCACCCGGAGTGTGAGGACGACGCGCCCAGCAGGCCCAGACCGAGCAACCATGGAGAACCCCACCCGTGCTGACAACCCTGCTCTCCTCTAGGCTCTTCCACTGCGCTCGGCCTCCCCACAGGCCCCGGACCACTGGGCCATCTAAACCCCGGCCAGCAGCCTCTGGGAGCCAGAACCCCTCCCCTTCCAGGGGCTTTTGTCTGGAATTTGTCAACAGTTTAGCGAACACAGAAAATCGGTACTGAGACAGCAGGGTGGTTGCCATGGCAGAGGCCGCAGTGGACAGTCATGGGAGACCTCGGAGGCTGGGATCAGCCAGGACATTCAGGCTGTTCTCTGCGAGAGCACTTGGGAGGCAGAGGCAGACAGAGCTCTATGAGTTCAAGGCCAGCCTGGTCTGCAAAGAGCCCAGGACAGCCAGGGCTACACAGAGAAACCCTGTCTCAAAGAAGGGGGAGGGGGGACAGGGAGAGAGAGCATGCTGAGTAAGCAGTGCAGGAGCCAGGAAATCGGAGACGTTGGGTGCATGAAACATCTCCGAGTAAAGTCCTCAGCAGTGGGCAGATCCATTCAAGCAGAGGCCATGAGCCTTTGCTGCTCACGTCGGCCATGACAAGCTCTGGACGGTGACCGTGGAAGTAAGAGACGTAATGTTCACCCTCCTGTTTTTTACTTGGTTGTTTGTCTTTTCTTTGTTAGGTTTTGGTTCGGTTGCTTTGGTACAGTTCAGGGTTCCTGTTTGGTTCAATTCCTGCTCCTCCCGTTTGGGGAGGGGTGCTTGCGTTAGGGCCCACAGAAAGAGTTGGCCTTGAGTCTGAGGAGGTTTTCTCCAGACTTGAGCAGCCTGGCCCTGCTGAGACTTTGAGGAAGCAGCTAATGGCTCCAGCTGTGCGAGTACAGCAGGCCACGCCCACGTCTGCATTTGGAGAGTATGATTTAAAGTGTTCTCAGGTCTCAAGGTGACACGGTGGGCTTGGGGTGACCCTTAACTTCCGCCTGGGATGAACTGAGTCATAACGCATGCTCGGGCAGGCCTGTGGGCGTCCTCAGGGGCACTCTCGTGTGCCATCCTGCCAAGCACCGAGCTCACCCTGTGTGGCCAGCGCCGTCCAAAAGGCAGGGGTCCCGGTGGAACACGAGTGCCACAGACCGAGCGCACAGTGCCGGTGTGCCCCTGCTTCCTCCATGGTGCCCGGCTAGCCCAGGCCCGGGAGGCAGCTGACCACTGACCTTCCCACCCTGGGAGCCAAGTGAATGCTGTTGCTAATTAAGCTGCTCTTGACAGTCTCACCCCTGTGCATTCCGCAGGCCAGCTGCTCTCACACCCCACCCTCTCCTAACTGCCTCCTCGCCTGTCTGTCCTCTGCCCACCCACTCCCCTACAGACTTTTTCCTCACATCTGTACTTGTTTTAGGACCCTCTGAGTTTAGTGGGGTCATCTGGGTAGCCTGGGCCCAGAGCTGTTCACGAAGAGAGTGCACAAATGAAGGGCTGTTCCCCAGAGAACCTGTCAACAGCCGGAAGTTCGGCAGGGTGGCCCGTCAGCCTGCCCTGGCTGCGTCAGCTGTGCCAGGGCCAGTGTGCCGGGACTGCAGCTGCGTCAGGTCACAGTTGTGTGGTTGTGCCACCCTTCCCCGCCTTCCTCTTCCGAGTGTCCCCAAGTCTTCAACGGGTGCTATGAACCCTTGCTCTCAGCATCTTCCAGGCTGAGCTCCTGGTGTCACTTGCTCTCACATGTTGAGCGGCCACGATGCTCTGTGTGTTCTCTGCTTTCACCACCATTCGCTGCCAAGAATTCTTCCCTGACAAAGGCTGGAGGTCTCCTTTGTCGTAGCAGCCGTTCTCAGCCTCTGAGCTGCGGCCCTCTGGGGGCCAAATGACCCTCCCGTAGGGGCCACATCACTAACCCTGCTATCAGATATTTATGTTGTGATTCGTAACGGTCGCACGGTTACATTATGAGGTAGGAATGATAACGTTAGGGTTGGGTGGCCACACACAGGAACTGTAAAAGGGCTGAGAAGCGCTGGTCTGTGGACATATAACAGAAGGTGTTTAGAAGGAGGCTTGACGCTGTGTCACTGTGTATGGGAGCAGTTCCTCGGGACGATGACATTCCCATGTGCCGGTTGTCACAGTTGAAATATGTGGTCATTGTGATTAATAACACACAGGTGCACTCTGAATTTATGATGGGATTGTCGCGGTAATTCCACCCGACCATGAAAACAGATCCGGGCCTCCACCCTGGGGAGAGGAGCAGCCAGGATTGAGAGATGCCTGTGAGTGCCAGTCCAGTCTCTGTTTCCTGCTACCCTGGATCTGAGCGAGCAACTTTCAGAACCACCCACCTCCCTGCCAGAACAGCCTGTCCCCTCAGAAGGCCCTCACCTCCTTAGGCCACTCCACTTAAAACATTTAT